CCCAACATGATCTTACTTACATTCCTTTCTGCACCAGCCTGCTCCCACCTCAACCCAACTACATCCCCCATGGACTTCTTCACAACCCCCCGAAGAGGACGGTTTCCTTTGCCCCCGTCCTCCCTCCCAAACTCCTCTCCTGGGCGCGCGCTTCCATGAGCTGCTGAGCAAAGGCAAACTCCGGATGCTCCGCCAGCCAGGCGGAGCCGGGGAAGACGGCGCCATGGACGACCTGCGCCACCCAGGTGGAGCTGAAGGCAGAACGACGGCCTCAGGGCGGATGAAACGTGCCATGAATGAAACGCGGGTCGTGAACGCGGGAGTGTAGTTCAATCAGACCTGGAGAAAAAGACACGCCATGCTTTCGAGGATCAGTTTCGTGATGATCTGGGAGAGATGGTAAAAATTGGAATCCACGCAATTCATCATGGATCTCACAAGTCTTCCCTGACTGACTATAGTGGAAAACTCGTTATATATAGTTATATACATCAAAAGCCCTTCAAAGATTGTTGCCAAATGTTGCCAAACCTGTTTGTTCAAGTACGAATCACCAATGCCCTCAATGTGGAAAGCAAACACTATACACACCTCAACTTATTTTTAATTGAATCAGGGGGACATGAGCTCAAGTACTCCTTGCAAATGGATGTGGAGTAAGAGCCACAAACACAAAAAGTCAACATACCTCAAACACCAATTCCACCCCAACTAATTAATTCCCCCATCTGGGGCAATCGTGTCTCCCATACTGTCCCATACTCACCCACAAAAAGAAAAAGAACACACTCCTTGCATCACCGCGCCATGGTCGCCCGACCTTGCCAACCGCACCTAGACCCCGCGGCCGTTACTGGCCTCGCCGAGCGGCGATCGTCCCAGGGCTTCGAGCGATTTCCCGCCACGGCGGCCCAAAGGAGCCGTGCCTCTCGGGCATGGAAGAGCTGATTCAGCAGCTTCAGCAGCTGGTGGACGATGGAACGATCGAAGTGTGCCAAGCTGACACCTTGAGATCAAACAAATGAGACATGGTTTTGGACAGTGTGTGGGAGATAGATGGTCAAGTGGGTGGGAGATACTCGCGGCGTAGCGGCGTAAGTATTTTGCTTGGGGAGTGGTGAAATCTAGGCAACTTGTGCCGGTTTCATGTAGAAACCCGTTGGATTGGTGCTCCAACTGCTAGTCTGGATACTTCGTATGGTGTTGCAGCAGAAAAGGTCATTGATCGGAATACTCTCCCAAAAACATGTTCAGCTCCTCAACTCGAAATTTCACACCCTCCCAGAAGGAGGGCAACACAAACTCTATGTTTGGGGGGTTAGTTAGTTGGTTGGTTGATTAGTTAGATAGACATACCCTTCCCAAACCGTTTCTTCAGAATCGAACCTTTGAGTCGACTCGGAAAAACCAGGGCTTCTTCTGCCCGGCCACATCTGCGGATCGCGTGCACGCGAGTGGTGCTCTGCCCCTCTGGAGACAGCGCCAAGAGGTACCAGAACTCCACTCGATGAGGCCACCGAGCAATGGAGATGTCCAGCAACTGGCGATAGGTCTCTGTTGGAAGTCCACTGTATAACAGAAGCAGTGAAAGCTCTGGATGAGATTCTGCCACTTCGATGGGAAGGCCAGGAACTGCAACCAAACTTGGAGTCTCAAAAAAGTCTCCTGGTGGCTGCTTAGAATCAGGTTGAGCCATATATATATATATAGCATTACTGTACAGTAGGCTTGTGTGCATGTGAAAGGGCGGCATTGGGTGCCTTCTTCTGTCTGGTCTGAGTTCTCCTCCCCACCTTGGACGAAACATATTTAAGATGCTTTAAAATCTCATGCAGCTCACCCAAAATAAAGCACACATGACAGGATAGCTTCCATTTTGTCCCATCAACATTCCAAGTCGATGGCAGGGAAAAACAGAAACACATCCACAATCCAAGCAGCCCTGCCTTTCATCAATTGTTCTTCCCCCCGTCGAAAGCGTCTCAGGATCAGCTGTGCCGCCTGGATCTCCAGGGAGCCTACACAGCTGCGCCGCAACGCCTGCAGCTTGCGGGACATGGACTGCAGCACGGGGCCATCCACGCGCCAGGTGGCGCCTAAGGAGCTGGGATACTCATGTTGCACCACCAGCAGTTCGGAAGCCAACCTCATAGCATTGCTCCAAGCCGAGGCGTCCCAGGAACAATTCGCAGGCCTTGGGTTGGCGGGGAATTTCCCCAGCTGGGCGGACGTCAAAGAACTGCATGGTTAGTTCGGACACCCGTCGATCTCGGTTCCAAAATGAAAGTTCGGAGCAAAGAGGTTCGCAGTCTTGGTTTGTTTGTCACTGATTTGTAACCTGATCATTAACATCCACCTGACATCACTTGCCCCAACGAAAAATGAACCCGTGCCTTTCCCAACTCCTCTGGCTCCTCTCCAATACCGCAAAGCCTGAACCAAGGGCAGAATATTCCGCAAAGCGCCAGGCTTTGTTGACATCCTAAACTATGCTGGAAGCTGGGCATTCGAACAACAAAAATTCCCGCAGCCGCACTTAAATTTAAAAGCCCAAAGGACCTCAACGGTTTAAAACTTGAGGGCCCCCACACCAAGGTGTGTGAGCATCCAAGCTTCAAGCCAACTCTGCATCTGATCCAACGTATGTGCTGATCCAACAGCCTCTTGAGTTCCATGCACCAAGATATACCTGGTAGAGCCAGTGACCAAAGAGAAGTCCAGCAGGCGCGAGGAAGCAAAGAAAAGCACATCCGCATCAACTGAATCTGCGAAATCCACTTGGATTCCAAGCGCCTTGAACTTCGGATGCTTCTCCAGAAAGGCCACCAGCTCCGGCATCGGATCCAGCACGTGATAGCGGAAGCTCCTGGACCTTCTTCGGCTCCTTTGGCTCAGGGCGCCGCGCAAGATCGCGACCCATGAGGCCTCAACATCTCCCACTTGCCGCACTGCCTCGGCACGCTGGGTGTATTCCAACAGCGTGGCCAGGTGAAAACGGAGGACCAAAGAGGCATTCACCACAGCTGACTCGTAGGTCGCGTCGACCTCCAAACAGCACAATGAAGGGTTGACCGAGACTGATCTCACTCACTCACAGCTGGAAAATGCTAGAAAATGACTAAGGGCGCTTGACAGCTTTACAATCACTACTGCTCTTGCAAATACAATGGTCACCCACCAGCACCACACAAATGTCGCAAGTATCTGGTTGGCCTCCTCCACAACTGCTTCGCGGCCCATTGGGCTCGCTGGTGGAGGACCACTGACACAGCGCCGGCCTCGGGAGAGCCAAGGGGAGGCTGAGAGCCCCTTCCCCTTGCAAGACTTCCATATTCGATCAACAACATATCTAATTACTGGGCTCATCAAAACCGGACAATCCGATAGTTTGTAATCCATAATCCCCCTTAGGATTAAGAATTATATACACAAACCATCCATGTGGATCAGTTACATGCACTTACTTAACTACGCTCTATTTCAGACCATGCATGCAATGCAACTATTCGATGCATCGATGGTGAATCATGGTGGGCAGTGACTCAAATCACGGAAAGGGAGTACTTGAAAACTGTCGTTCAAAAACTTGGTCTAATGAGTCTACTGCTGTAGCGGGCAACCGGTTGACATGGGTAGGGCAAAAGGCCACTATAAATCTTAAAGAGTGGAAATGAACAAGCCCCAAAACTACAAGGTGATCACATGTCATCACGTACTTGCAACCACCACTACCACCCTTAAATGTCAACACAGAAACTTCGTTTCACCAACAAAATCAGGTCCTTCTCATCAACGAATCTGGGAAGGGGACGTGTGGTAAACTCCAAGAGAGGTTGAGAGACCAGAACTAGGACCCTGTAGTGGTACATATGGGCTGGGCGAAAAGAGCTGTTCAACCTCTCTTGGCTGCTCCTTCATCGAAACAGGTCGCGAAGGCGGACATCGAAACAGCTCGGCAGCAGGTAGCCACCGGCCAAGAGCAGTCTGCGGCCCTGACGGCTGCAGTCGTGGCGCCCCAACGCGCAGGAGCGCCGGGCCACTTCACCGGACAAATTGCCGATGCCTTGGGGGGAGGCGGCCGATGTGTGAAAATCATCGATCAGTTTATCCCAAACTGGGGAGTTCCCTGGCAAAACAATTCAAGGGGCAGTGCCCCTTGCCTTGGGAGAAAATAATGAACATGATGAGGAAAAAAACATCTCATCAGCACTCCTAGGCGTCCCTGTGCCGCAGCAGGGGCCAGCAGTGCAAGCAGGACCGCTGGCCAAACTGCCATCAGCATGACTGCCAGCGGCGTCGAAGCAAAACATCACTTGTTGTTCGTCATCTATATCAGCCGATTATCAGCCTACTTATATATATCAACCCAGCTGGATATGTTCGAATTTCTAAACTTGGAAAGCTATGGAAAGACTTGCGGTTTCCACTGTCCCTCGCCACAGCGCGGCCGTGGTTTGTGCTGAGTTGGTCGACATCTGTGCAGACCTGTGTGTGAGATCTGGTGAGGTACTATCCCCAATCTCGCTGTGCGGTGCTTTTGCACAGGCTTGGTGGCAGGAAGTCGTTGACTGCTTGATGCGACTGATGCGATGAATGGCTCTGAGGGAGGTCTTGAGCCAAAAGTGGGCGAGGGCAAGGGAAACGAACAAGAAACATCAACTTCTGCGGTTCATGGGTGTCGCACGGGGTCTCGCCATTCTGCGGTTCTGGTAGCTTGACTGTCGATGCTTGGTACAACACGACTCAGGGGACCAAAATCCAATCATGTCCAGTGACTCAGGGGACGCTGGCCACTGGTCAAACACTTAAAACATCTTAAAACAAAGTGTACAGTAGGTTTCACGTACACCCGTGCATGTGTACTTACATGTCAACACGTTTGCCATTCAAGAGAGAACTTGTCGAATTCTGATTGGCATAAGGTGCATGTACCCTTAGACACCACTTCTCTAAACGAGGGAGAATGCCGGATGGGGCAACTTTGATCGCTGCCAATCTTCTGCACATCAGACAAGTTGAGCTCCATCATCCTCTGGTGCCAGTCCTGCTTGGAACTTTTGGAGTCGAAACTGGGTGTCGTAGCAATGTTCGCTACTAGGGGCTCCTGGCATCGCTACTAGGAGCAAGGACGCTACTATAGGGGCTCCTGGCCGTACTACTAGGAGCAACTAGCTATTAGAAACAAGAATTCAATAGAATTAGAAAAAAAACTAATCTAAATGTGCAAATGTGGCCTCAATGTTCCAACATCTTTCACACAGGGACCTGTCGCATGGACCATTACTATATACGTCAATGTGCCGGCCCTGGCCCGTGACTCACCGTGGAATGGTGGTATCCGAAAACCCATGTGCTTCAGCATGCGTCCAGTTGGACATCAGAACTCATGCCTCACCTCCAGGTCACTCCCCTGCAGGAAGCGTGCCACGGCACTGCCTCAGTGCTCAGACACTTCACATGATGTTGTGGGGTTCTAAACCAGTGACCAGTACACCTAACTCTACCCCTGCCATTGTGGAGTTGTGGTTTGGAGCCTCATGTAGAACAGACTCCCAAGGCGAGCGCCGACAAACTGGGACGTCACTGATGGAAACCATCCAAAAACAAGTTCCAAAGGCATTTCTCGGTCTACCGGAAGCCGCGTTTTGATCAGGTGCCATCGGTTGCACTGAAAAACGACGAAAAACGAATCCGTCTGACGTACAACCAACCGGAAAACTGCAACTGTTCTGATCTTGGGTGAAACCACGGCAGCCCTGTCGCACGAGCCTCTAGGATTGGGTTTGCCTGGTTGGATTGGGTTTTGCAACATCTGGTGGGAAAAGTCTCTCATCCGCATACACTATCACAACTTGCAAATCTTGCAATATGTGAATGAAGGAAGTCCCGGGTCCGTTACTGGCTTTGGCAGTCATACACGTTAGTAGCCCACTTCCGTCAAACGATGTGTACTTCCTGGACATGCTTAAAGAATCATTGAATCAACATCCCCTACCATTGATCAGATTCATCACAGCCAATCCAAGGCACAACCATCGAATGCCACGTAGGTTCCTGGGCCGCCACTTCATGACACAATTGCTAGACCTACGTAAGAGATTACGTAACCACCTTGGCTGGTCCGAGATGCGGGAAATTCTGACTCTTCTCTTCATCCTCACTGCATCAAAGCCATTAGAGCAATGTTAGCGCTTAAACTCTACCTGGGGCGCTTATGCTCACTTCTTTCAAAACAGAACTGTTCTCCTTTGGCAGTCAGCGTGTATCCTCTCCCCAACACCGCTGAAGCTGCGTGCGGTGCGCCGAACAGGCTCAGGTCCACCGGGCCCGGCTTCTCGCCGCCGAAGAAGGGCCGCTCGCCCAAGGCGGCGCGGAAGCTCTGGCCGAAGGTGGTGCCTTTGGGAGCGAGCTCAGATGACTTCGGCTTGGAATGGCTGGGGGCAGTGGGGTATATATAGTATAGTGAAAACACAAATGAAAAAGCTCCTGCAAAGTAAGTGGACACTTCTTGAAGGGGTTCGCCACAATACAAAAAGTATACATCCTGCACTCACCTCTGATGGTTCGGCCTTGATTGTCTTGAAATGACAGGCACTCCCAACTGCTGAATTATTTCACCAAACTATCTAGAACCCGTGAACCATCTGTAGTGAATTTTGCACGATCCATTGGTTGCCCTTTCCATCATCCCTTTCCTATCCCCGCATGACCTGGCTGCAGCCAGGGATCTTGGCAAGGCAATGTCCGGATAGCGGGACTTGAACAGCGACTCCACCACAATCTTCAAGAGCGGCACTACAAGGCCAATGATGCCTGAGAGGAGAATGGTTGCAGGGGCTGGATCAAGGTCTGTCTAGAGTCTAGCGTAGTCCAGAATGGCTGGCTGATATCGGAGTCAAAACATATGCGCGCAAAAAGGGCGAGCCTTCAAGCACATGAAAGCTTGCTGTTGTCCAAAAAAGTGTTGCACCATGTTGCACCTTCTGTCCGCAAGCTGTATCCAAAGGCCACTGGCCGACCCCTTTCCTTTCCACCTTCCACGGCGCACCTCGCTGCCAACCGCCGATGTAGTCAGTGGCCTGAGCCCAAATCCTCCTGAGTCGGGAGAGGCCACGTGCGCTTTCAGGTCCCGGGCACTCGACCGCCCTGAGCCCAATAAAGGAATCGATTTACGCTCCGGCAAGCCCATGAAACCTGAGAAGGAAGACCGGTGGTGGAAGACCATTTTCGGAAGACCAATCCATTGGTTTTGGGGTTCCATGTTCATCTGCGGGGGTGTACTGGCCAGTAGGTAGTATGCGGTATGTTATTGCGGCATGTTGATAGTATATGTACCGAATTCCTATGTGATTCGTAGGAATTGGCTTCCTGGTCTAAGAAATAAAAATTTGCCCCAAAGATCCCCAAAGCCAACAAGTCATTCTCCTTCGACTCACTCTGCTCATTTGACCCGACATCCAAGACAGCCTTTGAGGCTTCCCTGGCAATTGGTCACTTGCTCAGATCATGGACACAAAGGGGTCATCCTATGTCGCTTCTGGGTCTGAACAAATCGCCAAAGGATCCGACCATCACATCGCCCTTCCGTTCTATGAGCAGTATCTATGAGTTAATGTGTGCCAGGGGCATCCCAAGCGATCCCGGGCGCCCCATGCCAAGTGTCGCCACATCCCGCTCGTTGCCCAACAACTCCACTTCCATGCCCGGCTGAAACTCCTTGGTCCATCAATGGTTTGGCTCCCCAAGACGTGCAGCCCTGAAATGCTTCTTTAAGGGGGATGCCGGATTCCCATTAACTCACCATGTGGGTATCAAGGCCATCCGCAGCAAATAACCAAAAGCTGGAAATCCTGGCTCCAGCAAAAGCCACACCGCAAGCGAGCACTCTTAATTACTCTCTATTGACGGCCAAGTCCGGGCCGTCTATACCAGCTATACAAGGATAAATGTATATATATATATATATTATATATAGATAGCTTTGGCTTCAGTATGTTTCAGTATGCTTCCCCTTCCGCTACCCGATAAATGCGCTTTCTCCCAGTGTCGTAGGTGATGCGCTTCTCCCAGTACATCTCCTCCTCCGTCATTGGTCGTCCAGTGAACCAGGGCACCACTGTCTTGACAATGACGTGGGAATCATTGATCTGTCCTGAGGCGGGGGATCACAGGATCATGAGTGTGGCTTAATTAAGAAAGCACCGCAAGCATCCAGAAACTCACATATGATTCACCCAGCAGAGTTCTCGGTGATTGTATACGTGATGTTGTGTTGGCATCGAGAAAGGTATGGCCAGAAACTAGTACAGCAGTACACATGGTCAAAATCTACAGTCCTTTTCTCTCCCCTGTTTGTTGGTCCATCCTTGACATCAGCCATAGATAATTGCCTTTCTGCAGCAACAGCAAACAGGAATGTATAATAGTGTATAGAGCAATTGCCATTGTTCATTGCCAGGTGCGGTCGTTGATCACCAGGACGGGGATCTTCTTGTAATCCTGAAGAGGTCTCTGGAACCGTTGAAGTGCCATCAAATGACAACACACACAAGGCACAAGCATGGTTTCGAGGTGAGGCTCGACCAAAAGAGACGTCGAAGCACATGATATGAAGACATATAGCGCATGGATTGGACATCGAAAGCCGTGTGGGGATGCACACATATGTGAACAAACCATCAAACGATGTCCAAACAAATCCACTGCGATGTCAAAAGTCTGGTACAGTATGCTAAATGACTCCCTTGCTATATACATCTGCTCTGCGCCCAAGTCTTCTACTGTCGCTGAATGCGGAACAAGTCGCTGATGTTGGGTGGCGTCCATTCACGGCCCGGAAGGGCAAGTTGTAGTACTTGAACATCGTCCTGAACATCGTCCATTCACCGAGTTCAGCCGTTTGACCGCCGCTCCAAAGCCAATGAACCAGAAATAGAGTGACCACAGACTCTGTCCGCCTGGGCCTCTTTACACTCGGTCGAAATAAGGAAACACCTGGAGCTCCTGGAAGCCCAAATGCAGCATTCAAGTGACTGAACTGTTCAATATGTTCTGCCGACCAAGGGAATATCGGAAAAAAAATCCCAATGACAATATCGTTACTAAAATCTCAGCCCGTGCGTACTTGAAAGGTTCCAGTCTGCACAGGCCCGTGTACCGTTGATTTTTCGGCTTTTGTCAAGCTGAAGACTCAGCACTTAAAGGGCGAGGACTGTTTACTGATTGATACACAGTGGGATCTTCTTGATACCTCGCCTCACAATGAAAGGCCCTGAAAGGCCATAGCTATTTCCATAGTTTCATACCCTAGATGTCTTCATTGTGATCTCCAGCGTTCCCACACCAGCCTCAACTTGACGCAAGGTGGTGAAAGGTCCTGTTGATACCTCAGCCGACTCCAACCAGCGGTGCCGTTGGTCCGGTCAGCTCTCGGTCCGCTGTGTCTGTCTCGGTCGCTCTTGCTGTCGACATGTTTCCCATGGTTGATGTTTGCTCTGTTGAAGCAACGACGCATTGCAACTAGGTGAGATTCGGGCTGTTCCGCCTCGGCACCCTCAAACCAAGGCACAAAATGATGTCCTCCGGTGCCAAGTCTTGCGGACATCACAAGCCGTTGAGCAACTTGATTGAGGGGGCAACTCTTTGACAAGTACACCAACGGTTACCAAGGCAAACATAGTTTGCAGATGTTTGCAGTGAGCCTCCCAAAACTCTGTCATTGTGCTGAAATGTAAGGAGATGTAAGAAGTGAATGATACTGATCTGATCCTCCATCCCATAGCAAGGGCATGGACTTTTATGTTGAACTAATGCAAAGCATCTTTCAAGCCCTCTCAGTTTTCCACATGAGTGAACTGAGGAGGATAGCGCTTTGGATCAAATGTAGTTTGGTGTGTTCATAGGCCCCAATCAGGAACACATTCTTGAGAGTCGGTGTCTTGGTCTCTTCGAACCCGACATCTGTCAAAACTGCCACCCTTGCAGGTGGGGCCCACACAGCCGAGGCAAGCCGCCGTCTCTCATCGTCCCCTCTTGGTCTGCCGCAGAATCAGCGTCCTCCACCTCATCCAACTTGAAGTCAATGGGCTTTACAGCTTCGCCCTCCTCGTTGGTGCCGTCGGGCAGCACGCGGAGACGGCACACTGAACGTGGTTCGCGCAGGCTCCTGAAGGATCGCGATCGGCTGGGAGAGTTCACCCAGAAGTGAAAAGCAACGAGAGGCTCAAATGGATATATATATATATATTACTTAAATTAATATGTATATTGTATATATATGCGTTTTAAAGCCGCTAATCCCATGGAGTGAGTGGAGAATGGACACTACTACTCTCCTCCAATATGTAGCCTTGTACTTTATGGGCAATTCCTCTGACAGGCAATTCCTCTGAGCGGGTGCATGTAGAATGCAAGTAGCACACACTGGCGGAACAGCACTCTGGCGGGTTGGCAACTGGACATGTTGGCTCCAAGTCTGGCAGTCGCTGTCGATGGCGGAACCCCCTGTCTGATGCTTGTTTAATTTCTGGAGAGGGGAGCGCTGTGAGCGGCGCGTTTTTCGATGAAAATGAGCATTTTTCAACCTTTTTCATGCGTTTTCTTGAGAATGATTGATGTGTCTGACATTGCCTGGAAGGATCTGCCTGGAAGCGCCCAGATGTTATTCAGTAAGATCGGTCAAGAAACCTACAGTGATTATGAAAAAAAAGAACCAAAATTGGAATGATAGAATGAATGACTTTACAAGAAACTTAAATGATCACTTTAAACAACATAGAACACTATATGCTGAAGAGAAAAATATAGCAAACAAGGAGAAGATAGAAGACCGCAGGGGCTTATGGAATGCCTATTCATCACCAAGTGCTTTTTACAAAACAAGTAAGACTTTATACATAAGTGGCACAGGTGGTTGTGATGGATCTTTAACAAGGGATATTATGGATGATCTGTTATTAGTACCTACTAGAAATGTTCATCACAGTGAGAAATACAAACATGTTATAGAAGAATTGGAAAAGTCACCAGAAATAACCCGTTTGGTTGGGCATAACCTTGCAAGTGCTGTAATAAGATCAATCAAGAACAACCTAATACATTTGCTACAACAACCTATGCTACCCCTACAATAAAAACAAAAGGAAAGGAACAAAAGTCCCAAAAGACTTGACTACCTCAATCCATCCGATATTGTTTCAATGTTGGATGGTTACGCTGTAACTTCTGATTTGAAAGAACCTAACCCTTTAATGAGCCACAGCTATATCAATTTTGAAGGGAACGGCCTTTGGAACATCAATCCCGGCACCAATATAAGCAATGGATTTAACCCCAATCACTCATTTAAAAAACAACATTTAAACTTAGTTAAAATATGTAATGTTATGGTGGATTACTCCAAGGCAAAATTTTACAGAAGACTAAATGACAAAATGACGATGTCTATATTGGTGCTACTTGTCAGCGAGTGTTAGAATGGCAGGACATAGAAGGGGGCGGAATGGCAAAGATAAGAAACATTACAAATTGTTATCACACAATCACCCAAACATTCAATGCTGGTGGTGGTGAAATTAATATGAATATTGTAAAATCATCTTCTAAACTGACTGGAGCATTCATTACCTTATTTAGAACTCCAAGGAGTGGTGAAGAACTGAACCGATACTTACCTGACAATTATGTATATAAGAGATGGAATTAATCCTATGATCTATGGAAGAATTAATGATACTGGTAATGCTGATACAAATGACTTACAAGGTACAAAGGTTTTCAAGATGCCACCCGTAGTTTAAGTTGGCAAATTCAATTAAGCAATTCCCAGAAATACACAGAATTTGAAGCGCAATCATTATCATAAATATTTTACTATTTAAGAAGAGCTATACAGTACATGACAGTTTAAGTTTTTCGTATCGTCAATACAGAAAGAACAAATTCATTATTGGTATGTCATTTGAAAAAATTGCAGATGTCAATTTTACTGGTTATAATTCTAAAATGTCAGGTATTACCAATTTTCGAGTTAAAGGAGCAGAAGGAGCATTATTAGACCCTAATGAACAAATCACTGAGGGTTTCAGAGACTGTTCTGGAATTGAGAGAAAGTGGTAGTATTGTCTACTTCCAAGGAAATTGAAAATTTAAAACATCCCAGGAAATCAAAAAATCCAAAATTCCAATTTTCCAAAATTCCAATTTTCCAAAAAAACCAAAGAAACCAAAAAAAACAAAAAAAACAATTCTGCACAGACCATGGGGGGAAGAGGGGGTGAGGCAAAGTCCTGGCACAATTGTTTTTTTTGTTTTTTTTGGTTTCTTTGTTTTTTTTGGAAAATTGGAATTTTGGAAAATTGGAATTTTGGAAATTGCCTTTGGGGGAGGGGGGGGGTTGAGGCAGAATAGTATTCTTTCAGTGGCACAAAAATCAATAGAAACGCAATACAAATATAGAAACAAAATACAAACAAAATGAAACAATGCAAAAACGCGCCGCTCAGAGCGCTCCTTTCTGTAAAGAAAACGTGCTCTGATGTGGGCTAGAGAGAAAACCAAATGAATGCAACCAGTTGTCTGATGAGTCTGATAGGGGGTTCAAACACGTCTGATGCGAACATCTCACCATCCACGTTTCGGACCTCCTGGACCTTCGCTGTTGCGCACGGCGAAGGAGTGCGGAAGTCAACCTGATGTAGGAAAACGGGCGGACGGCATGAGGGAAACGACATCAGGAAACATCCCATGAAAACATCCTCTTACTTAAGTTACTTATATATATATATATATCTTAACACTCTTGGTCAGCAGGGCTGTTGGGCGTAGTGTAGTCATCTACCACATAGGGGGTTTCAGAACGGGGTTTCATAAGTTTGGTCATACATCTTGTTTCGTGGCCACCTTAGAGCCCTTCGGCGGCTTTTGCCAAGGTCGCGCCAACCGCTGAAGCGGCAGTTTTTGCAGTGCATGACATATTAGAAGGTTGCCACGCCACCCAATTAAGCCCACTTAAATTGTTTCCGGGCCATGAACTTGCTGGCTTGAGACGCCACTCCGGCAAAAGAAGCGCCAGGTGCCATCTTGCTTGCCATCTTGGAGGGGCCTCCAAACATGATCATGCCAAAAACCGAAGGAGTTGTCAACCGGCCACTGGTCCAGCGCCAGATCAGCAGCTTCATCATCCAAACTCCAGTTTGGTGCCAATTTGTTTAATTACTTTGAGCCAGCATAACTCACTGCATGTCCGATGGAAGGTCATTTGAAAAAAGACCATCTCGAAGAAATCGCCGTCTTTCCGCATCAAGGGTGTGGTGACAAGCGGAGACCAAAAATCAACAAAAGAAGCGTCCGTCAGTTCTCACTTCTCCGTTCGTCCCAGCCCAAACCAAACCGCACGCCTTCCACACCACGCGGCCGTCGCGGCCGTTCAGCGCTGGACGTCCGAAGTTCTGGTGGGGGACTCCCAGCGGCCCACACGAAGGCCGCCATGACTCGTTCGAGGCTCGGTGCCCAAGGGACCGACGGGACCGCGTGCAACGGCCAGTTGGCCCTCTGGAGCCCGGCGACGGCAGGTGGGAGATTTAGGGTGAAGGGTCAGGAGAAGGCGCCGACTTCACTGAAGAAACAGGTGGAACGGTGATATACAATATATAACATAAAGCCAGTATGTGAGCTCAAACCAGCCTGGAGTGGGACTTGCCACTACCAGAACCATCTCACCATGGTCAGTGACTTTGAGCAATGTAGCAGGAACAACCAGGTGTCCTTTAGGGGTTCTCTTCGACGCTACATAGTCGTTCTACAAATGCTACCACCAACTATACGCTACTTGTTCATTGGACAATCTTCGATTCATTGCATGTTTTTGCATGTTTTTTCTTCTCCAGACTCTTCAATTGGAGATGAGGAGAGATCAACCCAAGCCGGGCACAGCAGCTTCGGCCCGGACGTGCCATACGGCTCGGGCCGGCCAGTCGGCTCCCCATCCCTCAAGGGACCGTAGGACGCCTCCGGCACCTGAGCCCGAGCAGCCGACCATGGGGAGCCGAAGAAAGAACCCAAGAACGGTCAAAACTTGGAGTGGCTTGGGAACTTCCAAAACACTCCCCCCACAACATAGTTTATCCGAGCTGGTTGGCAATGTTCTTTTTCGTTGTGTTTTTGGGGATCTGATCCGTGGTTTTATTTGATGTTAAATTCTGTTCAACATGCCTGATCCGTGCTACGGTGGTGGGGCTTCCTTTTGGTCCCCTGAAGCCCTGGCATGGACCTGCACCGACGACACATGCCGATGGTGCAGAGCGCAAGACCCCGCCACATTGATCTAGGCTGAGATCAAAGACAGCTGCTCCGAGCCAGAGGGGCAAATGTCGAGTCTATGTGGAAGAAAAACAGCAATCGATGCAAAACGGAGTGCTGTGTATATCATATATACTGCTGTGTATATATTAAATATATACCCGTATAGATCGTCCTTTGGGATGAGAAAGGTGCCGGACTTCAAGCCGGCAAGCATTTCAGCCGGATTCCCGAAAAATGGCCGAGGGCCTCAAACAACATCCGGATCCAAGTTTCTGAAACAAAGGGATGGTGAAAGGTTGGATCATGCACCAAGCAAGTTGTCTTGTGGCACGAGCAGTTTTTGCAGAACAGACTCATTCCACCTCATTCCACAACCAGAACGTGAGAAGCCTGAAGAGGAACATGGAGTATATCTTTGTCATTCTTGGTCCATCACAGCCATGCCGTTGCGACTGGAGACGACTGGAGGCCCCGACCACCAGGCCCGGGGTCAACGCCATGGTGTCCGGAGTCCAAGGGAGGACGGTCCAGCTGATTCGAAGGACGTTGTTGTCGTGCGGTCGGGGGGAAGGCTGATGAGTGAAGACATGTTTTCAAACTCCAAGCAGCCACTCAGGTCCCATTGGAAGTCAAGTGATTTGAAACATGTGGAAACTCGTGGTCTCAAAGAATGAATGGGCTAAACACGGGCAAGAACACGGGCGATGAATTTTGGTGAAAGGCTGCATTGGACTCGTGCTAACAATCCTGTATTCTTGGCTTTCTCTTTTCAGCTGTGGTGCTACTGGTTGTCTCAAGAGCTTTATACACCTGTTGATGCCGTTTATGTCTTCTCTCTTCTCGGTTATCCGGGCGTCCCCTAGACTTCCATGCGCCCTCCATCTGAGCCAATTTCCACTGCAAACATTGCAGGTTCTTTGGTAGCATCATGCGCTTCTTCGTGGCAACTAGCAGCATGGTGAAATATGTTTGACTCAATATTAAATATCATCAGGCAACTAGTCAGGCAGTCTTTTGGGGAGTGACTCTCCTTCTGGCTGTGCATGGGGACCCCCTGTGCGCAGCGGCAGTCGACTTTCACGCGTCTGGGCGGCTTGGCCGCGATGAGCTCAGCTCCGGCGAACACCGCCCGGGACCCGAAAAGGAGATTCTATAGATCTCCTCGGGCACATTAACATCAGTCGCGGAAAAATCATCACAATGTCCGGGATAAAAAAAAAGAACAACAGAGTCCAAATAAACAAGTTCGGAGTTCGGACATGGGTGGGAGCACCCGTTTTTCCTGTCGTGGCGCCCCGACTCACCTCCCAGAAAGTCCAACAACTGTGGAAAAGACTTCCTGGGCTGCATCTTCGCCGAATAAAGGGATGCAAATGCGGCTCAAAATGAACAATTCCATCAACTATTCCGTGGACAAGTTGACAAAGGCAATGATATCACATTTGGGCAGTGAAAGCCCGCTACCCTTCTGGAATCTTCTGCATGTTCAATCTGATCTCCTCAGTCTTGAATGATCCGGACCTACAACCATCTTAGCATTTGGATGATTTCGACCCGCCACAGCATCTGGCAGTGGCTGCCACGCAACCGTTCCGCGCGTGAACGCGCTCAGCGAGCCGAGGATTTGCTACGCCGCGCAGCCTGTCGGATCGTCAAACCGTGGAACCGGGCGAAGCGCCTCGACTGCGAGAGCCCAAGCCTCGACCCTCCTTCCAAAGGTTGTCACTGCATACCGAGGATGGGCTTGGGTGGCAACTCCCACACATCTCTGGAAAGATTTAGGACAATGCATCCATCCTGGAATCCTGGGCGTGGAAACTAGCACATGTTAACAGCTATATACTGTAGGAATGTTATGGAATGTGGTAGGGACCTCCAGCTCAACTTAACTTTGCCAAATAGAAACGCTCCTGTTCCCAAGACAGGCTCCAGCTCAGTTTTGTCACTGGAGTGCACAAAGGAACAAGAGAACGATGGTTCAGCATCCGGCACTGCCGCCTGCGTTGGCCGTGGAAGCAAAGGCCTTGGGATTTCGGTCCATGAACTCGATATCACTCTATCACTCACCTAGCTATCGGCTCATCGAAAGCTTCAGGCTTCAAGTACTTCTGCAAGTCTGTGATGAAAAACACTCTCATTCTCACTCTTTCAGCTTCTCTCACGTCCATCCTCTTCCAATGTGTCGATCCCGAGAGCCCTCGAGCCGAGTGCGGCCGAGTGGGCGACCTGCACCCGATCGACCTGCACCGAGTCACGTGGGGAACACCGAGTTGGGCGAGGGGATCTGCGAGGTGGGCGCCGTCGCCAAGCCTGGGCGGAGAGCATCGGATGCCAGGGGCATCCAGGAGGTCTGTTGAGGGAAAACTCAACGTATTCAACCTCCCAACATCAGCATTTAGATATATTATGATATATTAATTTACAAAAATCAAATGACTATTTTCCTTCCTCCTACCTGCTGGACAGAATATTATTCCTGCTGACCCAATCTGGGAGAAGGATGCAAAATGAACACCTGTGGTGCTGGAGGCATGAAACGCCCCGACACACTTAATGCATCCGATGCCAAGCACTCAGAGCTCTCAAGGTCTTCAAATGTCTTCAGTATGTTTTGCATGTTGCAATTGCGTTTGGATGCGTTTGGGCACATCAACTTGTCAACAGTTGCTGCATCATACCCAACTGAAGCCGGCAGATTTGGCCTGTGGAAATCACCAGTGGAACGATCTTTCGACGACGGCCTGGCATGTGGTCCCAAACGCATCAAGCTGAAGCTGTGGTCCCTAGTGGTTGGTCATTCAAGGCGGGAACTCAGCGAAATTTGGGAGAATCCTGACTTGTGAGGTGATACATGTAGTGTAGCCGTAGCCATGGCTCTTGGCCCACAAAAGACGTTTAGGAATGTAGCTTGAGGAGGAGATTCTTATGATTGGACCTAGAGTGATGAGACTCCCAATTAATATATCAGCCAAAAACGTGGACCCAAACACTCCCTCCCCATGGCCTCGATTTCGACGCTCAGGTGGCGCTGAAGAAGCACGGCGGGGCAAAGCCTCAGCCAGAAGGGATCTGGCAGTCGAACGTATGTGACTGTGAGACTGTGGGTCAAAACCCCGTAACCCTGGGTGACCGCGGATCAAATGAACCGAACCTTGATGTCACGGGATGTCAACCCACCAGGGTTTGACCCACACGCCAATACTGTCTATGGCAAAGGCATTCAAAATGACATCGGTCGACTGCACCGACCTACTGGGTGTGTATTCTCACTCTCGCGAACGAGAAGAAACATATGAAGCTGGCAAAGATGGCAACATGGCAAGCTGGACAGGAGGTGGATTGCTATGATCATTTGATGCAATTTGATAGTTGCCTGGGATTTTATCACTGTTGGAGAGAGCGATGCCGTTTCCAAACCTCATGTCAATCTCCACTTCTTCGGTCAGCTTGCCACATGCTTGAAGGAACCGATCGGCCGACCATGTGGATCTAGTTGTGATCGCAAGTGTTGCCGGTTGCTGGGAAATTCCAACCTCAAGAACCCCCGAGCCGGAAACCACTTGCTTGCAGTTGCATCGCATCTTTTCATAGCCGCTCTTGATTCTGGCCCTTCCCATCTTTGCAAGCCTATCTTGGAAAAATCATGGGAAGGATATCTCTCATGATCTCTCATGGCATTGTCCTGCATTACCTAGAACTTCCATGAGTCAACAATAATCAAACCAATCCGCCCCGTCCACGTGGGATAAACAGCGCTCGTTTTTTCCCCACCAAAGCAGCACTCCTGGATGCTTGCAAAAGCTCATCCTCAGTCCCACCACCCTGCCATGCCCTGCCCCGCCATGCCCAAAACAAATATGCCAAGGATCGAACAACTATACTATTGTGGAATGCACTGCCGGAAAGCCAGCTATACTAATTTTGGAGGGGTAGCACTATTTCTCTTGATCATTGAAGCCTGATGTACAGGAGTGTGACAATTGAGAAGTCGGTGCCCAGAAACAGCTATCAGCTATTAGGCTATTACTGCTCACCATGTGCATATAAAGGGCCTGATCATGGCAACAAGGAGCACAAACTGAACGAGCATAGTGGGCTCCGCATCATGAATTTTCCAAGTGTCCGGCTGCAAGTGGAAAAAACTCAGGTAGACAGACATGCCAAGGGTTGAACTTCTACATTATCACACTCTCTACAAGTTTGTGGAAGATGATTGAATAATGTCAATAATATGCCCTTTTGTTGTTATGGCTTTGGTGAAACAAACGGCACAAGCCATTGATAGTTTGAGGAATGTACACTCCTAGGAAACAGCCAGCATATCATATTGACGGGCTTCTCAGTGATATCCCTTGTCTTGCAACCGCGCATCGCAGCATTGAATCGGGCTCTTGCAAGCATCCGTGGCAAGCTGCAAGGCGACGTGCCTTCCAAGCATGGCCATAGCAAGAAGGTCGTCGTCCACAAAGCTAGCTTCCGCCGTCCTGCCATCACCTGTACAAATGCCGCGGCGCAAAAGCATGCAAAAATCTGTAGCAGGAATGGCAATGGACGCTAGCAATCACCTCATCGGCCAAATCCCCTGAACCCATCTGAAACCCGTTCGCCTAGAGATGCCTCCTCAATCTCCTGAGCTTTGAGGCTCAGGATGTCTGCACAGGTCAGCCATGTCGTTGTCAAGTCTTTGGGTCGATGAAGCTCCCCCTCCAAGAAGGGGAAAACCTCTCAGCTCTCAGGTCAAACACATAATAAAGCAGCAGAAAACTTGAGTTAAGCAGCAACAATATAGAGAAAAAGAAGCAAGTTACACCAAGTGTTTCATCAAGGTTGCTCTGATGTGACCACGCGAACGTCAACATTCTATCCGGTGCTTCTCAGAGTTTTCTGAAACCGTTTGCTTCGCCCGCAAGTCATTGCACAATTGCTGGCCCGGAAACAAGCCAAGGTCCAACTTCTGATAGAGATGCTGATGCACGGCACCTCAAAGGCAGAACCAACGTGCCATCATGGAAGCTATGGTGGTGCAGTATGACACGGGGCAATCACTAATGGGACACTATAGCCATGTCATCATGACGCTGGCACATGAGAAACCTTGATTGTACTTAGCTATTTAGTGCCGGGCTTGCATTGTTGCGTGGGCGGTCGCCAGTTGTTTCCAGTCACGGCCTTTGCACACTCGCAGTGCCCCCAGCAAAACAATGCCAACAAAACACACACTCACACATATCAGCTGCTGAATCATGAGGTGCAGGAGCTCGTGGTGTTTCAAAAACTTTCTAGCCGCACCCATACGGCGACATGGTGCACACAACCCATTTGCGCTCGTGCACGCACCACGGGCGCCTGCGCACAAGATCAGCTCCCGAAGATCCTCCAAGCGCAAGGCGTTGAGGTACCCGGCGAGGCGTGCCAGGTCACGGTAGACACGTAAGCGCAGGAGCCAGAAAGTCAGCTCTAGACGACCATACCTGCAAAGAGATCATGTGGAATCAGTCAATGAATTGGAACATAATTTGAACATCTTTGAACCAAGGACAATGATCAGAAACTGCTTCCTCCAAAGAAGGGATGGCCACACAGCAGGTCTAGTCTAGTGCACTGAGAGGTCTGGCCCGTGCCCAGGTGCATGGAACATTGGGCCAATAGAACTTCCAGTTGGACACCACGAGGGAGGATCTCAGAGCCATCCTCGAAGTCTAGGGCTGCTGGGTTCTCTGCGAAGGCGATCACATCAAGTTCCACATCCAGTCGGCCTCGCGAGGGGTCTCAGGGAGAATCGCGAGGAGGCTTCTTCGGAACAAAACATGAGATGTGTTGCTCTTGTGGCACCGTTTGCCCCAGACAAAAGGATCCTTGCATGCAAAGTGATTTGAGAACTTTCCTCCTCCGCTTCTTCCCTGAACACTATGACCATCCCGTCAAATTTAAAATATCTGAGGTCCAAGCTACGATGAGTGGGCTCATCTTCCACAGTTGAGTCCTGCTCCCCGATGCAGCGGTTGCAAAGGCAGCAAAAGCCTCTTGTGCCTCAAAAAGGTTCGCGAACACAATGTGTGCTCAGAAAAGGGCATGAACCCAAATTGCAAATGAGACTCCCGACAAAACGACTATTGCGCTTATAGGATGATAAAGTGGTTGTTGGCGGAGAATTGCTTGAGATAACTGTCTTACTATGTCTTTCGTGTTTGTGTATGATCCTGTTTGTTCACTCCAAATTGTCAACATTTGGCTGTGGTCGAAGGAAACAGCTACCCAAAAGTCTCAGGGCAAGATTGAAGAATGCCATTCTCCCTCAAAACTGGCCCCTTTCCATACCCAACCCCACCAATGTGGCCACCTTATAAAACAGCATGGAACATTCAAAAGCCAACATTTTGTCTTGATTAGGTGATGCCAAAACGACTATTGGAATACTCTCCTACAAGCAGAGTAAAACGGGTGTCCACCGAATTTTGGTGTTTGTACTACAGTGAGGGACTGGTCAGGTCGAGCCAGGCCACCTAAAAACGCAAAGACCAGGAGTTGTCTGTGCTTATGCGGGGTAAGTAAACTCACGTATATCAACTCGATCATCAGCTTCGGAAGTCTTCAGGACAAGCTTCTTGAGTAAATGTCAGAAATTCGTGCAACCCAAAAACCCATAGACTACAAAACACAGTACAAAGTTGCTTGAAGCAAATCCATAGATTCTCTCAATGTATTGCTGTCGAAGGTCTCTGGGCAGCAACATGTACCTTATCTTGTGATCAAGTAGGAAGGGCCTCCAATCTCATGTTCCATTCTGTGGAGCATGCAGCATGCTGGCATTTGGATAGAACTTGAAGCCCCCAAACCAATTGCAAAAGGACACCGCTTCAAACCATCAAGATCTGATCTGGCCATGATTCGGCGGCTGGATGTAGGAGATTTCGATGAGGTCTCCTTTGCACAAGGGCTGCATGGCCACCTCAGTTTTCGGTCAAGCGGCCATGCGAGGACTCCTTCCACCAGGACGGTTCCGGGCTCGGAGCCCGTACGGCTCCAGGTGACTCCCATGATTGAAGGCTAAATGGAGGGTGTGGGGTCAGCAAAAATGGCGTCTACGAAGTGAGTGCATCAAACATACCTTTCCACATCCTTCCACCCAGTTCTGCGAAGGTTTGTGTCTTTTTGTTGTCAGTTTTCCTTACTGGCCACCATTCCACGAAACGTCCACGAAACTTTCCCCGGGTTCCACTAATGTCCTGGACCTTCCACGATGTTGGTAGAATCGGTTGTTCTGACGGTTTATGCAAAACTCTTTCTGTGCACTACCCTTCCGTTTGCCTCTGAATGATGGAACACCAAGTTCACTCAGTGGGCCAGTTGAAACCCTCCGTGCCGCTGTTCACCGGTGCCTCTGCATGGCCCCAAGCAGCTGACGCGATGCCGAGCGTCCACATGTGCATGGCGCCCATCGGTGTAGTAGGCGGCATTGGGCGTACAGGAATGCGCGCAATAGCATGCTGTTGGAAAGACTGCTGAGCCGTCCTCTCCAAAGGGAAAGCCGTTCACCCAAAAAATGCGCCTCAGAGTGGACGTCTGTTGAGACCCAAAACTGAATGCAACATGACTTTATTTGAAACAACACTATGGTGTTGCACCGACATCAGTTCATGAAGGGTGTGAGCCACAAAACCAACCAAGCCCGATCGGACTTCTCCCTACCCCAAAAAACTACACATGTGCAAATATGTACAAATGGGCCAAGCAATTGAGCGCACATCGATTTGCACATGTGCATGCGTGGATCAAGTTGTATCAGGATTTTTGTGCCAATGGAGCACGCTGTTAATCAAACGAGTTGTATGAACCTTGAGGAAGTCTGTGGTAAAAAACAAGAAAAGCACTCGATCCTGCAGACATGTGCAACAAAGGAGAACCAGGAACGACAGCGATAGCATGCTTTGCTCATTCCACCACCATTTGCCACTCACAAGGCTCAGCAGTGCACAATCCTGCACGATGATTATAGATGATTAGATATAAAACATTACATCCCAGAGATGCCCCCCAACTCAGAAAGGAAGCCTTGATCCCATTCTCAGTCAATGTGAAAGAATTCGCAAAGTCTATCTGCACCCTTATACTATAGGTTGTGGGGTACAATCCACTTGGGAGGATACTGCACCTAATTAAGCAATCTATTGCTCGGATGTGTGCAACGGGGATCGTCAACTTCTGCAATCCCTGCACCACTCTGCCAGCACTGCTCCCTGGAATGGCCCAGTCACAGGATGCACTGCAACTCCGGTTTAGGCACTTCACCGGCGAAGCCCGCCGTGCGCAGCTGCAGCGCGAAGCGTCGAATCACTCCAGCCAGGCGCTCCGACATGGCATCATCCAACTGAAGCACCGCCTGAAGGACGAGGATCGGCACAACTCTGTATATGTTTTGTCCATCTGGTGCCCATCCAGGCATGATCAAGCAGCAACTTTTTGGAACTTGTATTCCAAGTTCGTCATGTGGACCGTTGATGTATAAATCCAGATGTAGAATGATGATGAGTGATGTAGAACCATCCTGGTAGGGGGTAATTTACGAAATCAACCGTCAACCTTCGGTGAAACCATGGCAAACCCTGTAGAAACCACCTCCTCGTGGCACACCGCGCCTCCCGCACCTTCCGGTCACTGCGAGCATAGCTCAGCACCAGCCCAGCCAGGCGCCGGGCGGCGCTGGGCGACAGCACGGCACACGTCCAAGGCCCAGCGGCCAAAACCCCCGTGACGTCGTCGGGCGCGGGCGCGGGGACGGCGCTGGCCGCCAGGAGCGGTGGCTCGGAGAGGAGCACATGGCCAGCCTGGCAGGTGGGTGAACTTTCGATGGTGAGATCAGTCTGAAAGGGTATGTGGATAGTTTTTTGAGGTATTTAGCTGACTAACTGCACTTTGCCAAAGTATTGCAATGAATATAGGTGATCAAGCACCATCGATCCAAGTCTCGCCGCGTTTTCCGCGTCTCGCAGCCTTGTCCGGACAAAAAGCAGCGACTCGGGGGGAGCGTGAAGGCTGGGGAGAGATGACGATCGTGCTTGCAAGATCCCAGCTGCTTTGGCTGGGCGTCAAGTTTGACGACACAGAGCCGAAAGGTCTGGAGCCCCGACCATTGAGTTTCGTTGGCTCACGGGCTGCCCATGGTGGTGGTGCTGGCAGCACAGTTCGGTTGAATCGGCACGGTCAGTGCATTCACGGGACGCGGAAAACAATCAATTTTGAAGCTGCTGTCGGATCAAGAAGGACGCTGGCCATGGGATAAGCTCTTGGATGCGTTGGAATTAATGGGGCATCGCAGGCCAGCAAAGCAACAAAGGGGTTGATGACGCCATTCATTTTGTTAAAGCAAACATAACAAACTTGGCTTGGAACACTTGGAACTCACATGCACTGCTTTGAACATGGAGGTGGTCCTACATCACTAGTGACTAGTGCCCAGGAACTAACCAATTAAAGTTTGGCCTTTCGCATTCCAACGCCACCATGGAAATGTCCAAACCTTTGCTAAACATAGGCAGGACACTAGGCAGGATTCTCTCTGGAACAAAGCGGCGCATCGTTCAATGACTGGCGCGGCAAGCCCGTCATCTCAATGGAAACGTTGACAAATTGCACAAATCACGTGCAATCACAATTTCAATCAGGAACGCGGCATGGCAAAATACAGGCACCAGCTTATCTCATGTCAAACCTGCCTCAACATTCGCCCCAAGCCAAACACAGGATTTGCAACGTCTGCCTACTGTAACTATGGCCGAAGTCAAATCCCAATGCCAATGGAGCACGGACGTTCAGCATGTGCTGAACAGGCCGAAGACGCGGCGGCATGGGACATGTCAGCTCACGCAGTGAAAGAATCGCCTCACAGATCTAACAGGGCGAGACACGATGTGAACGGAATATGTTCATGCCACCTCATCTCCAAGGCTAGGATTGTATGAACAAAGTCAGCATGTTTGCTGCCATTGGCAAGATGGCAAGCATGTTTGAGGAAGTTGCCCCCCATGAAATTACGGCACACACTCAGAACTTGATTTGACTTCAATAGTCCCCAAGCGGCAAGAATGGGCAAGGGTGTATACACAAGGCTCTGCGAAGACCGCCGGCCTATCACAAACTTCAATATGTCAAAGTGGATAACCCACAAAAGCAACATTGAGAAAGCTGGGCGTTGCTCTAGATGCATAAAATGCGGGGCAATCGCGGCAAATAAAAACACTCAAATGAATCTTGGCTTTCTGGCCTTCTTCAATGTTGTGATGCAGTGATAGTGATACTCACAACGCAATGTTTGGTTATACAGTATACAATGTTACACATACATGCGGGGTTATCAACTGCAAAATCTGTGGGAGGTATCCAGCATGCAGTTGTTAAGGTGGTGCTGGAGCTGCTACTGCTGGACTGCCAGACTTTGCCAGCTGCTGCACTATGAACACAACCAACCTTACAATGGGCCAGTGGTCCTGAACTGGACTGCCCTCTCGCTTGTAACTAGCATCCGGCTGGCACGCCATGTCCCTTGTCTCGTATGGTGTGTGGACATGTTGGTAGGGAAACCTCGCCAAGGCAGCGCTACCTTGTGAGATCACGCCAAAGATCGCTAGCCTGTCCACTTCAAGCGGGGCGTCCGAACAAAACAGGTGTTCCACTGTGCTGTGTTACAACTCGGGCATCTATTCTTCATCGGTCTTAACATTGAGCGCTTGTGGAAGTCCATCCCTTTGCCGTTGATCATCTCAGGTCACTCGAAGGAGGGCTGCAGGGTGGTTGGAACAGCGCCACCAAAATGGACTGGTCTGGAGATGGTCCACAGAACTCACCCAAGCAAGGTAGCGTCAAGTTCGAGGTGGTGAAGGTGGAAGAACTAAGACATTGGGAGGAGAGTCTATCTAAGAATCTAAGATTTGGACAAACCGTGTTCAGCTGCTTTGAGCATCACTTTAAGCCTAACCACCTCAGCTCCTCAGCTTAGAGTCAAGCACTGGCTGCATTCAATCAAGGCTACTTACTGTAAAAACTTGATTTTCTGCGGCAACCAAGTGAAGGAGTGTATTTGGGTGAACAGGCCGCTGTGACCTCTCATGTGCCCTGTGACCGCCCATTGCAAATTGGGCACACACACACAACCACCTGGTGTCACGTCGCGTCTCCCCAGACCGTCTGAACCCTTGGCCGACGTGCGCGGCCCTGGGTCCACCAGATGGGTCCACCACCGCCGTTGCCGTGGGGATCTCACCGCTCACCGGACTGCGGGGGGTTTGCCCGTTACAACGAAGAGGTGCAGCAGTACAACTTGGCAGGATATTCGAATGCAAATGGCTGAGATAGAAGAGTGTAGCTGTGGTTCTCCTTGCGAATCTCATCAAGCCTTGTCACACCAGAAGCAGCCCCACCATTTCTAAGCAAAATTGTATTCCTTCGCTGAACGAGCGGGTGCTCAGTCCGAAAAACAGTCTGCAAACAGTTGAAGACGGACGACGACATACTTGGGAATAGCCAGGACCGCGGGGTCTCAGCAAGCCACTCCGATTTTGTGAACTTGTCGGACTTGTTGCAAATCGACAGAAGAGCTGACCGGCTCGAGCCGTGCATGCGCACCAGCCAAAGCAGCACAGGGACAAGAAGCGATGCCTCTTGTGACGAGAAGCCCACTGGTGCGAAGCGGCAGGGAAGCACTCGTGGAGACACTCCACTAACCTAGCTGGAGGCACTCTTTCTTGGGGTCCCAAACCACGGACCCGTGGCAGTCGCTCACGAGTGGAGCGCGGGAACGTGGACGTCCAGTTCCCTCGTTGTGGGACGTCCGACGGGCCTCATCGATGGATCTTTAAGGATCTTCAAGGTCCGTTCGCTTCTTCCCCCGAGGCAGTCGCTCAACTCCAACAAAGCGAAAGAGAGGTCCCTTGCATCAACCAGCGCTTGGAAGATCCAGCTAGAGGCTCAGGGCGCTTCAGCGGCGCTTAAGCAGCACTGACTTGCTCCAGCCTTTGAACCACACAGCGGCTTTTTCACCACAAGCGCTGATTGAATCGAGCTCGGCCAGTGCGCAGTGTGGCTCGTTGGGTTCTCAGTCCAGCTGGAGAAGAAGGAATATAACACAAGTGGAAACAGGACTTGGACAAAACATCAAGTCATACAATGTCAAGAAAGGCCTCAGTGACGGAAACGTCAAAACACATGAGAACAAGTTACGATTCCCCCGCACCCGTTCTGCTATCTTCTGCTGAAACGGGCAGGCGCTTGCGGCATCATGCACCCAAAGGCGGAAGGCATTAGTCCTGCAGTCCTGGGGTTGGCACAGGGTTCTGAAGTTCTGCACGGCCGCGGTGAAATGGGATCTCTGAATTGAGGCGAACATCGGTCATCATTGAGGTGATTTTCTGTGAACATGTGTGCCTTGAAACCTGAGCATCTCACCCATCTCTTATTTGTTTTGGTCAACATCCTGAGGTTGGGTGCCTGACTTCAGCTGCTAGAACTTTGGAAAACTCCAAGGTCTGCAAGTCACAGGCTAAAAGATCTTGAAGCATGGCTAGGTGTCCCAATGGTCATCAACTGGTCTCTCTAGTGACCGGTTCTCTGCTACACGAGCCCCAGCCCAGGACGCCTTATGTCACCGTGTGGGCTCACAACACCTTGTTTCGCCGTGCGAGCATTGCCCCGACATAGGGCATGCTAGGGGGAAGGTTGATCTGCAATAGGTTGAGCTCCTCAAACAAGTGAAGGTGAGGCAAAACATCCTAAAGACCTAAGAGGTTCCTCCGAAAGGCCTAAGAGACCTAAGAAAAACCTCTGAAAAGACCTAAGAGACTCCTCCGCAAGTTTCGCTTCATGTGAGGCCAAGGGGTCAGGGCACCCGTTGACTCAAATCGTTTTTTGCAAAACCGCCCCAGGCATACGACTCAAAGCGTTTAAGGAACTGTTCTCATGGGTGCCTCACTGCTATCAGATTGTCACAAGGCTCTTGGTGACGAGCAGCGAGAATTTCAGGATGGCGCTGACTTTGAAGCAAACGCCATGCTCGCATGCAACATGTTGGACTGACCGGAGATGCACAAGCTGTGCGATCTCATCCTTTTCTCAAGTCCCCTCACCTGCATCTGGCACATCCGCGATTGGCTAAAACGAAGCAAGCTCTAAGTGATCCAACCGCGATGGCTTGGCTCACATGTTTTCTTGGCATCCTGCGATACCGCCGATGCTGTCGCTTCTTTTGCATTTTTAACTTTTTGCAATAGACACGATCACAACACTCAGGACAGGAAGAGGAACACAAGTGAACATCGATGAAGGTGCCACGCTGAATAGTGTGCTTGCAGTTGTCAAGTTGGTGGCGACACGAGTGGCCAAGCTCACAAGACTCCTTGTTGATTCACTCCTGGCGCTTACGATTCTATATAAGTCAATCACAGCCTATTGTTAGGTTTGTGCATCAATCAATAGCAGTCTTCCTACTACTACCTTATCCGGGTAAATGACCAATTCTCACTCCTCATTTTACCGTCCTGAAGGCCAAAGAAGTTCAACTGAGACTGATGTGAGCACAAGAAGACTACCTACCCCGGCCTACCCCGTCCTTCAAATTTTCTTGGAGCTCCTTCTATCTCCTTCTGCGGGAGAGGAAAGGCTGGAGTGAACAAAATGGAAAGTCATCCCCTTTTCAGCTTTCTCCTACTTTTGCGAGAAACGGGAGGAAGAACCAAACGAACCGGACGAGGCTTTTACAGTTTGTTCGAAGACTTCGAGGGCAAACACTGCCCAGCAGGTCCTCTGTGGCACAACGGAGGGTCTGCTGGCGGAATATCAGTGCCCTCCGTGGGCACCAGCCGTATTGGTTTGTCGGCACAGCTGCGACGTTCCCCATCGAAGGGTTGAGGCAGAAATCCGTGGGACTCGAAACATCAGAACGCTGAGTCTGAGGTATTTTTTCAAGAGATTAAGAGGATCGAGGTCTTGGGATGATGTTTATTGGAAAGTAAAGAGGGTATGGGACCGTGCAGCCTGTCGTATACATCTGTATTAGGCAAAGAGCAGCGGGTGCTTCCGCCATAAATATGGTTTACACACTCCTCAACAGACCTTGGGACAAAAGGATTTTCCCATCCAGGTGGCAAACGGCTGTGAAGCGTTGTAGTATATTATGCTCTTCCAATCTGCTAGGGTGCTGCTACGCCTTCCATCTCTGCGGCTTGTAGTCCTTCTTGAAGCGCCTCCAGCCAAGGGAGGGCTGTGCAAATGCCACCTCTTCTTCCGCCTCAAAGGCTCCAACGGGATCAAACCCAACCGGTGCCTGAAGCCGCTCGGCCAAAAGCAATTGAACTTCTGGTCCTGTCAGCAGGGAGAAATACACCATGACTCTCTTTGGTCACCGGTGCTCATGGAGGATGCTGCTTCAGCATGTTCCCACCATGTGTTCTTCACACCTTCCACACGGTCCCTTCTTCTGAACAATGAGCCAGTGGCTGCGGAAATGACCTAAGAATACCTACAGCAAACTGGCTGTAGCACATGCAACTTCAAGAAGCTTGGGCCTGCCTGTTTGGGAAGAAATCATTACTCGTCCCTCATCGCCTGAAAATCTCTGCTGGCCACTAGGCACCGCCCCAAGCCAGCCACCACTTCCACTTCAACCATCAAGCTCCATGGCTCACCGACTTGGAGCAAGCTTCCACAAACAAAAACTCCAAATGGCTGTGAGAATGCGCAGCAATCGAACTTCGAGTTGGGGATGGACGGCCAATGAAAACTGTTCAAACAGCAAACTTATGTAACTACTGTAGCTGCCAGTCTGCCAAAAGGGTCGATTGATAGAGCTAGGCCGCTAGGCATTCAGAACAGCTGTTTGCTCTTCATTTCCTGCTGTGATGGCTTCGGTCGCGAGTCGCGAGTCATCGAAACACCTCTCCAACCATCCCCACGAGCCACACACACAGGTCATGGCGAGGCTAGGAGGCCCACCGCACGAGGGCCCGGTGTCTCGTCCAGCGACTGCCTTGGCGAGAGAGGGCGGGTGGGCGGGCGGGCAGCAAGCCAACCATCTGACGCGGACTGGTGGCAACTACTGATAAAGAACACTTCCATTTCACCACCTGACATGGAGAAGATCGAACTTATCCAAGTCCTGTCAGCATTCGATTCTGCATCCCCTGAATAAATGCCGTTTTCTGTCTTCCATCCATCCACTTGTCCAAAAAGAACGTCCCCGCTCGCGAGGAGCGAAAGCGAGACAGATGCCGAGCCACAAAGGTAGGCCATGCAATGATCCATGAAGCCTTGGCACCATCCTCGGCAGCCAATGTGATAGTAATGTGCTTTCATGATCTTTCATGTCCGTTTGGAGGCTGTTGGCCGACTCCCACCAGCCTCACAGGGCTGCTTTGTCTTCGAAGAACAGGTGGGAACTTGGAACTATGAAGGAATGCTGATATCCTGGGGATGTCCCACACAAGCTAACGTGGGATACAGCTGCACCAAAACCAACAACATTTTCATTTACAGCATAACTCCAACGAGAGGAAAAAAGGTAAAGATCCACACGAGCTGAGAAAATCTGAGAAAGAAGGCTTCGGGTCAAACAAGGCCAAGAGTGAGAAAGATATTGTATTACCTCTGCTCTATTGGCCCACTGCTTGAGGGTGATATGCCGGAAGGACACATCCACAGCACAACTAGCTGGAAGGTCACACCAATCAACAGTTTGATGATGTTTGGACTCCTCAGCAACCCGACTTCAAGGTTCCTTCGGCTGCTGTGACTTCAGCTCCTTCATCACACAGTGCTGCCTGGTTCGGGGTTCCCGATCTCACAAAGGTCTCCCTAGAGCGCTGAAGACGTGAGGAGTCGCGAAGAACCCCCAAAAGGCACGGGGCAAATGGAGCAAAATCGAGTGGATGAAATGGAAGCGATCGGAAGATTCAGTGGTTTTGGGTTTTGGATGCTTGTGGATTTTGGATGCTTGCCGATTTCATCCTCCGAATGCTCCTAGCTGGCCAACATGAAATCCGGATCTCTGCAGTCCAAATTAGACGCTAATTAGGCAAGCCTGTTTGGCCCTCGAGATGCCTCGTGTCACTTGGAGGCCGCCCTCTGTCCTCCAGCCGAGCCCCTCACAGCCTGCTCCAGGGCTGGCGGTCGTGCTGCCTGGATCTCAGCCTCCTCGCGATCTGCGGGCTTTGGCAGAACCCAGTGGGACTCCCAGTGGGACTCTCAGTGGGACCCAGTGGATGAAGTCTGAAGGTCTACAATGGCCTACATGTCTGGCTTTGGAACCACTTGGGAAGAACAGGGATGAAATATTTGGTCGAAACATGTCGAGACTAGGGTCCACACTTTTCATCACTTGAATTGAGTGACCTCTGTTTCAGTGTTTCCCTGGTCTGAGCATGGGCAAAGCCTGAGAGAAATCCCTCGGCTTTGACCTGCATCCCTCACCTCTGTGCACCCGTCCTCTGAGTCTTTCCATTCACCTGGCACTGTGACCCTGCAGGGGAAAGGGACCTAATGCCCCCATCTATTGTAGTTTAAGTTGGTCAGCCTTGTTCCTTCAAAACTCATCGAGTGTCGCCATGACAGTCCATCACGGCAAAGCCTTTTATTAAAAAAACATATTTAAAAAAAGAAACTGCTCCATGGCACCTTTCCGGCCCATTTCAAGACCATTGAGACCCCCAGAAAACGCCTGTCTCCGCTGTTTTCGTCGGACCTCTCCGAAACCGAAGTCGTCCCCGCTGGCCTGCGCCGGCGCCTGCACCGCCGAGGCGGTGACCTTCCGTCGGTTCCTCCGTCGCGTCGTCCACGAACGTCTCCAACGAGGCTTTCGAGCTTTGTCGAACCTGCTCCACGGTCAAGGCGTCAGGTTTAGGCAATAGATTTTAGCAGGTGTCAAACGAAGGCAGTAAAGAGGGGCAAGATCAAAGAGGAACGCAGGGCTAACTCAAGCTAAAACATTGCTAGGGAGGCTAAATTGTTGCTAAATGAGGTGTAACCTCCAAGTTTCTCCAATCTCTTCATCCGGCCTTCTCTTCTAGCTCATCAGCTTCTTGCAAGAAATCCTCCAAGGTCTTCAAGGTACAGGCCTCTTCCTCGGATCCCTCCATGTCCACTCCAGTCCCGCCGCTCCAAGGCGCTGCGGAACCCTGTCCCGACACGGTGGCCGCCCAAAGACCCCGCCAGGCGGCGAAGATGCATCGCTTCTGACCGGCAGCTTGAAGAGCTTCCAGTTGGATTAAAGCTTCTTGAAGTTTTGGATCCAAGTCCTCCAGCTTTGCAAGCTTTGCCAGCTCACCGTCTCGCTCCGCAAGTCTCACATCCTCTTGGTCCTCATGACCTTCAGTGTGTTTGGGAGACTTCTCATCCAGGTGCCTCCCAATCACTGGAGACACGTTGAGCTTGGCATCCAAACGCTCATCACGTTTGGCCTCAGGACTCTCGTCCATGCCGCTCACCGTGGTTTGGCTCTGCAGGCTCTGCCCAGGGCCCGTCATCTCCGTCTCAGCCGTCTCGGTGGCGAAGCTGGACAAGTCCCAGGCTGGGGTGCCTCACAAAATCGCGACACCCTGACACAGCCCTGTCTGTATTCGCTCACTCTATGTATCTATGTATGCATGCATACATGCATGCATGTATGTATATACACACATATATATATATACATACATGTGTGTGTGTGTGATTCATCAAACATGTACAAATTCCATACAGGATGTTTAATTGCCAATCAAATAAAGAAACTTGTGAATAACAAAATAAATGCAACAACATTGTATTTGTTTGGGCTTGACACGCACATCCTGAATCAGAAGAACTCGGCAAACTAACTGTGCCATGAAAGAAGCATGAACACCCACCTCACTTGGGGAGAGCCAGAAAAAAGAAGGCACTCCCGATATATATAGTATAACATATAAAATTATATATATATACTATTTGTAGTGGAAAATGGTCTTCCAAGGGGCCATTCTCCACTTCCATGTGAGTTTTCGGGAGTGTATACTGTATATGGTCATTGACGTCCTGCTTTCTTTCTTCGGGGTCCGCTGAGCTGCACTTCTGGAACTGCTTCGGCCGCGGCGAGCGCAGGTCCGAGACATCGGACTCGCTCAGCGCGGGCTTCACCTCCGCGGCCGAAAAGGCGCCGTTTGTCGCGGCGTGGTGGACGCGGTTCTGTTCGGGTGCCGAAGATGCATGAAGAAGGCCGATAGATGTAGTCCATATCTGGTATAGCATACGGCAACTGGTATGCTATACCAGAACAATTTTCTGCTAGAATCACTTGCATGATCATGTTATGATCATGTTTTACCCCATCCGTTTCTTTGCAACGGGGATTCTGGCCGGGTGGGGTGCAAAGGGATTTTGTGTGACAAAGCTACATGACTGGTATGTCGTATATTGCCACATGTTCATATGAATCATGCATGTTGCACAGTGTGGCCCTCGGCGCACTGTGTATCGATGCCTCCATGCGCTTATGCCATAGGCACGTACAAATCCGCATTGTAAGTGCAAAAAAAGCTTTCTAGGACGCAGCTGCGGTCTGCAATATTCTGTAATCAAAGCTGGAAGCTGGAAACAGCGGTATCACTCATGACCCCAAAATGGTTGTTCCATGTTGAAGTTGAACCCGGGGGGAGTTCCAAGGAACTGCACTGACTGGCATCATCTGTGCTTTCCGAATCAAACTCTTTCTTTTCGCACCACATTGGTTAGCATCGCCTGAATCCATTGTGTCCGAGTCGGGCTGCTTGGTGCTTCCTGGGCAGGTCAGCATTGCCGGAGTTTCGAGAGTTGGATGCTGGGTGGGTCTTTACGGGGTCCAGCAAGGAACTGCTTGCTTGTGTAAACATGCTTGCTTTTGTAAACAGCCTTGGCACAAATCCTTACCCCAAAAAGAACATTATCATGTTGCTATTCCTTGAGATTGAGATTCGAAGTTGGGACAACTACAACAATGAGAAACAAAACTCATGAGCACAACAGACCCAAGCATGTGCCCGCCCGTGGCGACTTCGATGTTTAATTCTCCGAGGGTACGATGCAAACCCATGCTGGACATCCTCGATCCTAGTTGTTTCACCGTAACGTTCCCCTTTTTCGGCACGCGGACAAAAACGAGGGAGCCTGTGGACTGGGTGGCTTGAGCGCAAGGAGCCTGGTGCGAAAAGGGTGGCCCAGCATTCCACCATTCACTCACTCAACTTCTGAACACCCAAGGATATGGACATGAATAAACATATATGTTCTAAGGGTCACTACCTTTCATGACTATATGACTATATAGTTATTCTAAGAATGTGAGCTTAGAATGGATCCTTTCTTCTTCGTCCCGGTCCCTTTTCGTGTCACTCATGGAGGCTGCCTGGTGACAGGTCACTGTCTGGCGTCCTGGAACTCTAGAGTTTTGCTGATCAGTTCATTGAAGGGTCACCACACATTCACGACAAGCAAAGAGTTCTTTTTTGGTGATGCCATGCTCTATAGATTAATTCACCAACTCACAGGCGAGAAGAACTGACAAGAGTGGATTTGCTCGCATTGCTAAGTTTTTGTACTCCTCTGTTGTTTTGGTGCAGCTTCTGTTCAACTATCAGTCACCCAACAAACACCAGGTGCGTCTGCTGCCTGCACACGGCGCCCACAGTGGATTTTGCCTTGGGTTCACCGTGACAATGTGGCCTTCAAAAGTCCTCCAACAAATCCCGATCGAGGTCTGACATAGACTGACTCAATGTTAATTAGCGCAAAAACCAAGGGGTGTGCAGTCATGATCTGAGGTCCGAAGCAGAAACATGAAATGCCTCCAAAAAATATCTCCA